TCTCACATTTAGAAGACACATGTGAGTACACACACACACACACACACGTTTGTATTCATATCTTTGTGGGGACCCTCTATTCATTTCTATGGTCAAAACCCTAATCTTAACAATGACAACCTTAACACCTACCCAGCCCTAACCTTAACCATAAGTAACCAAACAAAGTGCAAGGCTTTAGCATTTTCAGTTTTTTGTCTGCAGTCACAGATTTTTGTAAAACTGAGGTTTATATTGTGGGAACCTGAAAAATGTCCCCACCAGCTAAAAAGTAACAGATTTTACCATACTGAGGAGACATTTGGTCCCCACAATGTGGTAAATACAAACCCCAAAATACACTCACGCAGTCACTTCTACAGCTCATCCATCTTTGGACCTCTTATCCAGTACAGGATCGGGCAAGGAGTCAGGACCCTAGCCCAGACACCATGGGACACAAGACAGGGGAGCATCCTGGGTGGGCTCCCAATCCATCACAAGCCACGCACACACACTATGATTTCACCAAAGTGCATCTATCTGGCTCCAAAGGATACTCATCTAACAAAGGGGAACAAAGGCAGAGCGGGGCTGCGATTTGAAACCTCAAGCCTTGAGGTTATAACGCTCTTGGCCAGACATTAGAAAAGGCAGTAGACAATGTATTGAACTGCTTGTAAAACTTGCTATCCGTAATTATAATCATGTATAATTAAGGCCTTCACCAAAGAAAACCAGGTGTTAAGTCAGACAAGTACGAGTATTTAATACATGAAATGTGGCATTACACAGTGGCTGTTTAATAAAAAAAATGTATAAAACAAGCTTAAAAACTGGTGATTCACAATGTTAAAATGACAAAGAAACAGCAAAAACATGTAGTCAATACAGAGAATTATGTATGAAGACATGATTAGACCCTGGCAGATCTACAGTGTGGCATTACAAGTACAGTAAGAACTCATGAGCAGGCAAGATTCCCCAAGACTAAAAGGAACCTTTGACATTATAATACTGCTTATAATGTTACAAAGAGAAACCAATAGATACCATCTAACCAGCCTTTAAGAAAGAGAAGCTAGAATGTTTACTTAAATGACATCTCTGAATATAATAACCAAGGACTTGGATCTATTCTTCCTGTTCAGCAGCTATTTTAGATGTTTCCCTGGTTATCGAAGACCACACATAACCCCAGACCTGACGCTGCACTTCAGTTCTAAAACTGACTTGAGGTTTAAATGCAAATGACCCACTTTTCAGGGCTGTATGACTGATGCAGGTGCCCCTCATGCCACCCCAGTGGAATACAAACTGACATTAGAAATGACACAGTGCATCTGGGCACGATGCTACATCACAGCTCTGTAGACATATTAACCCATTGAGATGCTCTCAACTACTACGACAGTGTTTCTCTACCTGGCCTTGGGGAACCCCCAGACAGTGCATGTTTCTGCTCCTTCCCAGCTGGGAGGGAACAAAAATGTGGACGGTCTGGGAGGGAGCAAAAACACGGACTGTCTGGAGGTCCCCCAAGGCCAGGTTTGAGAAACATTGTGCTACGACAGTATATGTTTTCACTTCAAATGGTTTTGTTTGTTCAAGCCAATATTACATAACACAGAAATTACATGATCCTGAAAATGACGAGC